TTTGATTGAAAAACAAAAAAAAACCCACAGCCATTTTAAAAAGAGCCTTTAATTTACCAATAATAATAATAATAATAATAATAATAATAATAATAATAATAGTAACGGGTTAATTTATATTGGAAAAAATAAAAAAAAAATAAAGAAAATGAGTCGCAATTTTGGTGATTTATTAAAAACCGAATTTTTAAAAGGGAAAGGGGAGGGCAGTGGGAAATATTATCATCATCATCATCATTATTAACAAAAAAAAAAAAGGAAGGAAGGAAGAAAAGAGAAAAAAAAAAGAAAGAATAAAAGAAAAAAAAAAAAAAACAAAAACGAATCAATTGATCTGTTTTAAAATAATATTATTTGTTTGACTCACTAAGTCACGCGTTAAGCGTTTTTTTTTTTTCACGACGCTCTGTCTTCTGCGCAAGTTTTCTTCTCTATCCTGGAATTTTCCGATACGGTTTTAAATTCACAACAAATTGACAACATTTCAAAATGTCTATTTTTATTAACTCCTCTTTTTTTTTTTTTAAATTTATTTATGCGTTTGTTTGTTGGTTTGTTCGTTTGTTTTCTATTTCGAAAGGTCGTCATTATCATCATCATCATCATCATCATCTCGGACGTTTTATTGTTTTGTTTTTCTAGAAAAATCGTAGACACGTAGTCGTGTAATATTTTATCATTATTGAATTCGTTTTAAAATGTTTCTGGAAAATTCCATGGATTATATATGTGTACATGTATAAACGTAACGGAAATCATAATAATAATGACGACGAATGGCGTCGGGTTGGCATTTACGACGACGATGATGATGATGATAATGTGATCGATTCCTTTGAAAACCTTCCATTTTTTTTTTTTTTTTTGGAAATTTTAAATGGAACAAACGCGAATAGATTTATTACAAGCGAAAGTACGATGATGATGATAATAGTAATGATGATGATGATGATGATGAAAAACCGGTATGATTGTGCGGGGGTAGGGTGGGGGGTGAGTCGTGTGTGTTCACGTTAAGTGAGAATAAGTTATATTGACGCGCGCGACTTTTTATTACTACGCTCGTGAAAATACAGGAAGACATTTTCTTTTTACTCTATCCTTCTTTTTTCATTTCTCTCTCTCTCTCTCTCTCTCCTTTTTTTTTCGTATGCGTGTGTGTATGTGTATATATTATATATATATATATATATTTTAGTGTTTGGACATTCGCGGAAAAGTTCGGTCGTAAAAATAAAATAGAAAAAAAATTTTCTTTTTTTTTATTTATTGTCGGATGCGGTTTTCTTTTTACGGGAGTGGGGGGAGGTGGTGGTGGTTTTAAACAAAATTTGATTTATTATCATTATTATTATAATCGCGAGTTTTGATTTTAATTTATTTATATAATAATTTTATTTAAAGGGAGAAAAATTTTACGACTCGTTGTAATTATTATTATTATTATTACATTATTTTCCGAATTCGATCGTTGTTTGTGAAAACGTTATTATTATTATTGTTGTTGTTTTCCTCGTCGTCGTCGTCGTTGTTGTTTGTTTCGAGTGGAAAAAATAATTAAATAATAATAATAATTTAAAATATTGTTAAAACGGGAAAAAATAAAATAGAAGATTTTATTTTTTTTTTTTCCTTTTTGGAATTTTTTTTTTACTAATGTTTAGTAACACGATTATTATTAAAGATTTAAGTGAGAAATGTGCGATAAAAATGGCGGATCCGGATGTTTTTTTTCAAGAAAAGTAAGGTTTTCTCTTTTTCTGGTTTTCCGTATTCGTTATAATTCTTTTTTTTTTTTCTTTTTCACCACCATCTTCTTCTTCTTCTTTTTCTTTAATCCTCATCTTCTTAAATTGAATAATTTATTTATTTAAAAAAAAACCGGGGGAGTGGGGAGGGGAAAAAAATAAAATAAAAAAAAATAAAATTATTATTTTTTATTATTATTATATTTATGGCGTCGAATTTTTTATATTCCAGAGTTAGTAGTAGTAGTAATTTCTAGAATTTTCTCTCTCTCTCTCTCTCTCTTTCACTCTCTCTCTCTCCCTTTTTTTTTCTTTTTACCCGGTTATAATAAAATTATACCGAATTAATTTTTTCTTTTCTTTTTACGTTTTGTAAATTTAATTTTTTTTATTTTATTTAATTTAATTTTTTTATTTTTATTTAATTTATAAAAATAATAATAATAATAATAATGATGATGATGATGATGATGATGATGATGATGATGATTACGTTTAAAACGTTTCATCATTGGAAAATACAATGAATTTTCTTTTTATTTATAAATATATAGACGTGAGTAAATATCTGGAGGATATTGAATTTTCTAGAAAAATTTTCCTTTTTTATTTATTTCGACCGATGATATATATAAAATGTTTCTTCTGCTATTTTTTTTTTTTCCTTTTTCTTTTTCCTTTTCAAATAATTTTTCTCCGTTTTAAAATCTTCTCTCTATCTCTTTCTCTAACATTTTCTCCTTCTCTTTTTCTCTCTCCTTTTTCCACCACCACCATCACCACCTTCTTATTTCCTCCTTTTTCACGTTTTAATAATTCTATCAATTTCCGGTTTTAATTAATTATAAACAAATGTTAGATTAGTAGTAATAATAATAATAATAATAATAATAATAATCTTAATAAATTTCATTCGAATGGCTTAAAGGCTATTAAAATAAACGATCACGTGTTTATTATTATTATTATTATTATTATTATTATTAAATGACTTAGAGAGAATTTATTTTAAAAAAAAAAAAACAAAATTTTTTTCCTCTTTTTCTAATGTTAATAACTGAGAAATCATTAAAGTTAAAATGTCGGAGAGAGAGAGAGAGAGAGAGAGAGAGGGAGAGAGAAAGAGAGAAAGAGGGAGAGAGGGAAAAAAAAGATTTCGAGTTGAAGTGGGGGCAAAAAAAAAAAAAAAAAAAAAAAAAACGTTTTATCGATTTTACGTAAAATTGATTTTTGTTTTCCCCCCCTCAAAAAAAAGAAAAAAAAAACGAAAAAAGAAAAATTGATGAGTGCGAAACGAATTTTATTTAATAAAAAAAAATTATTATTATTATTATTATTATTATTATTATTATTATTATTATTATTATAAATTGTAATCCTACGAAAGAGTAATAAAATTATCAAAAAAAAAAAAAAAAAGGATTTTCTAATGCCACGTGCAAATTTTTTAATTTTTTTTTTTTAAATTTGATTTGGTTTGATTTGTCGTGATCGGGATTTGAAATTTATATTTTTGTTTTTTATATAAAGGAAATTATTATTATTATTATTATTATTATTAATCTCATTAAAAAAATTTTTCCGAATAGAAAAAAGAGAGAGAGAGAGAGAGAATGGGAGAGAGAATAAAGAAAGGATTAATTTTTTTTTTTTTTTTTTATATTCAAAGATTTCGGGGATTCTTTTTTCTTTAGTCTTTCCAATTAATTTTTTTTTTTTTTTTTTTTTATTGTTTTTTTATTTACGATAAATGAAAACGTCAGAGTTTGTTTTCACCTTTTGTTTTCCATTTTGATTTGCAAAAACGACAACAACAAAAACAAACAACAGCATTTTTTTTAAAATAAAGTTTTGGAGAGTTTCCTGTTGTTGTTGTGAAAAAATCAACATAAAATGCCTTTTTTTTTTTTTTTCTTTCTTTCGTACAGGAAGAAATAATGATTGTTGTGATGATTTCCTGTCGTTGTTGTTGTGTTTGTTGTTTTTCTGTTTGTTTAAAGTATTACACAAATATTTTTTTAAATTTAAAAATGAAATTATCCAGAAAAAAAAATTCGTTATTATTATCTTATTAGATTTTTCTTTACTAAAAACTTATCGTTTCCTAATAATAATAAAAGTTTAAAAGAGAGAGAGAGAGAGAGAAACTCACGAATTACTCATTTCATTTTCGATAAATAATAATAATAATAATAATAAGAGACGGTGATGATAATAATAATAATAAAAAGAAATGCAAAACTTTATTATTGTCGTTATTATTATCATTTTTTTTTTTTTTTTTTTACTGAAACGTATCGAAGATATTTAGAAAATGGTGGGAAAAATAAAAAATAATAATAATAACTTGAAGAAAATTGTATGAGGGGAGGAATGAGTGGGGTGGTAGTAGTGACGGAAGAAAAGGGAGACTATAAAAAAAAAGAAAAGGACAGAAAAAAAATATATACGTTGAGATTTGAAGCATTCTCTCAATATTTTGATGGGGAAGCACAGCAGCATTCTCAAGTTTTTTTTTTTTTTTTTTTTTTTTAATGGAGAAACAAAAACGCTCCAAGTGGTGACCTTTATAACTAAAACTGTTTCCGATTTTCACCGCTAGTAGTTTTTCCTCCTTTTCACATCTCGCCGTATAGATTTTCCATATATATATATATATACAACATGCCGTATAAAAAAAAAAGGAAAAGAAAAAGAAGAGGAATCAAATTAAAATGAAATTTTTATTTTATTTTATTTTTTTTTTATAAAAGGAAGGTTTTAAATTATGTTATCGATGGATTTTTATTAAACTAAAATAAAACGGGAGGAAGGGGGCGGGGATGGGGGCCGGGAAATGCGGGGGAAGGGGCGGGAGAGAGAGAGAGAGAGAGAAAAAAAACAGAAACGTCTTACATTTAAAAATCAAATTTATGAATAATTTAAAATAAAAAAAATTTTTTTTCTGGAAAGGGAGGAGAAAAGGATAGAAAATAAGGTGGTGATGGTAGTGGTGGTGGTGGCGGGGGCGGTAAGGAAGTAAAAGAGACGGGATGTTAAGTTATTTGTAAAGTTCCCCGGTTAAAACGTTCGGGTTGGCTCGTCATCATTAATGTTTGATTTATTTTCTTATATTATTCAGTAAAGAAAATTTTTTTTTTTTTTTTTTTTTTATTTAGAATTTTTTATAACGGAAAAAGTGAAAAACGAATATTATTCGATATAATGATTTAAATATAAATTTTTATACAGGAAGGCAGAGAAGCTGTCGAAATGGCTGCAAGCCCTAGAAGGCAACAGCCGGCAAATCAACCAAATAAAGTTAAAAATCCACCTCCGATGGTTATTCAAAGCGATTTCAGAAAGGTAAGAAAAGAAAATTTTATCCCTTTTGTTATATATGTGTGTGTGTGTGTGCGTGTGTAAAATGACTGACTGATTGACCTTTAAATAGGTGAGTGGTATTTCGACGGAAATATTTCGACAAATAGAACAAGTTGAAAATGATCACGATGCGACAACGGCAGCTGCTTTGGAAACGGTCGACAGAAGGGGAGAAATGGTCGTTCGAATTCTCGATCCCAGATCAATGGGTAGAAATTCGTTGGAAGCTGCAAAAATTTTCCTGCAAATGCAGGTAAAATATTAACAAACAAAAATCATTTTGATAAAAAAATAAAAAATTATTATTATTATTACTATTACTATTTTTTCAGGATGCAAAACATATCGTTCAATTAGTAGAAATTGTTAAAAGACCGGGACAGACTCTCGGTTTGTACATAAGGGAAGGTAACGGAATGGAAAGGAGCGACGGGGTATTCATATCAAGGATAGCATTAGAATCAGCTGTTTACAACAGCGGATGTCTTCAGGTTCGTCAAACTCAGTAAATAACCGCCGCAACGTTAATAATATGCGGCACGAAAGACGAGAATACTAATTGTACAATTTAAATTTTTAATAATGATAATAATACTGATACAGGTAGGAGATGAAATTTTAGCGGTGAATCTCGTCGACGTGACTAGAATGTCACTCGATGATGTTGTGATAATCATGTCCATTCCAAGACGTTTGGTTTTGGCCATAAGACAGAAAAAAGGTATGAGAGGTATGCAACCTAATCAAAGTCCTCTGTTGACGTCGAGAGAATCAAAACCCCCGCCTGTCGTAGTTATAAAAAAACATTTCGACGATTTCGATAGGGATGATAACGGAATGGAAGACAGAAGGTTCGTAAACGTGAATAATTTTTTTTTTACAAAATGCGTGTTGGAAATTTTAATTAAATTAATTTTTTGAGGTTTGTTTGTTTGTTTGCAGAGAGAGAGAAAGAGAACATGAAAGATTAAAAGAAAGAGAGAGAGAAAGAGATAGAAGATCAAGATCACGTTTGGGCCTTGAATTTTCGCACATTTCACGAGACCACAGTGAACACAACGGTTTAGATCTTTATTATAATTCTAGGTACGTGTTTTGTTATTGCTATTATTATTATTATTATTATTATTATTATTATTATTATTATTATTGTTATTGTTTTTTGTTTTTTTTTTTTTTTTGTAAAATTTTTAAAATTGTTCAATGCAATGTCCGACCTCATTCTTACTCTCGATTTTCTAGACCCGAAAGCTCCTCTGAGCAATGGACGTATCGACCTCCTCCTCCACCAGTTATAACCGAGCAGCCTAAACCTCAACATTTTACTCCTTACGATAGACAATACCCGAAAACACTTGAATCTCTTGCCGAAAAAGTACATGCTTTTTACCCAGCTGGTACGTTAGATAATAGAAGAGGATCCCCGGCGTATTGTTCTTTAGGAGCCGGAGGATCGAGAGATATTCGAAGGGTGGGAAATAGGATAATGCCACGATCGGGAAGCGATCAACATTTGCCAAGGGTCGAATACGATTACGGAAGGTAACAAAAAAAAAACAAAAAAAATTCAAATTTAATTATTACTTTAGAGATAAATTTAAATAATTAACAAAAAAAAAATTCCTGTCGCAGCTCAAGAATGAGTTCGAGGCATTCTGGTTCATTGTTACGGTCTAGTTTAAAATCTAACACTTTGGGACATCCCGGTTACACCTCAAGATTTTCCGATTCTTCTAGAGGTTATAACATTAGTTACAATATGAGGTAAAATCAATTGGTATCACGTGACTGACTTCGCATGCGAAACACGTGCGTGGATTCTGAAAATATTTAAATTCCTTTTTTTTTTTTTTTTTGCAGAGATAGCACATTAAGTAAGAAGCCAAAAGCTCCGTTAGACTATTCCTCCGATACGGAAGCAACACTAAGCTCAAAATCCTTAGCTAACTATCAGAGAAGAGGTTTTTCTTCCGGTTTGACATCCAGTGGCTTATCTAGAATAGGTGTTACGCCCGTATCGAGTCTCAGGTCGAATTCCCTTCCGAGAGATCACCGTGGACGAGGTCAGTTGGGACAAGTGTCTCGACAACAATCCCTCGTCAGATTTGATAGAAATCTGACAAGTAATTTATTAGGAGATGAAGATAGCGATGGAGTTTTATCAGCTCCCGAAATGCCAAGTAGAAGAGGTTTTATTTATTTTTATGATTGATGACGCGATCGATAAATCGACATCATTCGATAGATCGAATCTTTTTTTTTTTTTTTTTTTTTTTGGTTTAAAATTCCAGTAAAAAAAAAAAAGAAAATTTTCTTTTTCCAAATTCCAGATCGAATTTTGAGTACACCATCTGTGTTCACATCGGACGAATATAGAGCTTGGCTTTCACGGGTACCCACTAGTTTATTACCTCGCAGTAGCTCGATTATTTCAAGAACTGGTACCACTCACGGTATATCATCGATATCTAGAACTCCGAGCACTTCGGCCATTTACGAAAGGATAAGAGCCGGTAGGGAGGCGATAACGCAGCAAAGAGCGCAAAGGTTTACTTTTAGCGCTGAAAATTTAAGTTTACTCGATAGAAATCGAGAGGTAATCCACGTTTCGTGAAAATGTTAATCCCGAAAGAGAGTTATTTATGTAATCATTATTATTATTACTTTTTTTTTTTTTCAAATAGGATTCGCGATACTTATACAGGGGTCATTTAAATTCCACATTGGACAGGCCGAGACCTGCAAGCACAACTCCTTTAAGCTCAGGGCAGTCTTATTTAAGGGGATCCGATTATCGGGATAAAAGCACGGCTTTACAAGAAAGTGCTGATAAAAGCATGAGACGAATTCGTCAACTAATGGAATTAGAAGCGAGTCACATACCGCATCCTTCGCCTAGACTCCAGACTGATTCCAGATCCAGACTTTTAGATATAAATCCTGCGGGTATGTATTTTTGTCCGAATTCAAATGAAAAAGAAATAAAATTAACCAAACTAAAAGTCTCTTTTTTTTTTATTTTTAGAATTTTTAAAATACAAAATAGAAAAATCTAGTAGTTTACAAAATTCATCGTCCATTTCAAGTTTACATTCTAACGCTACTAATTTACCCTCGAGTGGGGATCCAACGGAAGGAATGTACGGTCTTTTATGGGTACACCTATTGGCGGGTCGAGGACTTCGTGCTTCTGCTTCTGCATCAAATCAAACGATGGGTCTGCTATTTTTTTTTTTTTTTTTTTCATAAAAATTTTTTTAGCGGAAATTATTATTATTATTTTTGTTTTTGTATCGTCAGGTGGAACGACGACGGGTCTTCGTGATCTTTATTGCGTTTTAGAATGCGATAGAGTACATAAAGCAAGAACAGTCGTACGTACCGGGGATATAGTTTTCGATTGGGATGAAACATTCGAATTAGATCTTATAGGAAACCGAGAATTAGATTTACTCATTTATTCTTGGGACCCGCAATACAGGCACAAACTTTGTTATAAAGTCAGTAAAAAAAAAATTTTCTTTTCTTTTCTTCTTTTTTGATTTTTTTTTTTTCTCTAACGATTTTTTTCTTTTTTGAAAGGGTTCCGTGCATCTTCTTTCTCTCCTGAAACAATCTTCTGTTCATCAGTTAGCTTTAAAAATAGAACCGAGAGGCACATTATATTTAAGGTTGAAATACACGGATCCCCATACGAGTTTTTCAAGGAAACCATCACAACAACATATCTTAGCTAGACCGGGATCAAAACCGATTTTAACGGGTTCGTAAATGAAGGTTTAGGCTCTCGTTTCAAAATCTTGTGACTGTTTACCCCAAATTCGTTTTCTTTCAGGTGGTTTATTCGGGAGTCCGTTAGAATCCACGGTGATACGAGAAAATGTGCTACCCGGTGGAATGATGAGCAATTCGACATCGATGATTCAAAACGTTCCTCTCATAATTAAAAATTGCGTCGAAGAAATCGAAAGGCGAGGATTGGATATCATCGGTAGGAACGAAATCGTAACGTGTTAAAAAGAGAGAGAGAGAGAGAGAGAAATGATGATGATAATATGTCGTTATTTATCATTTAAGGTCTTTATCGGTTGTGTGGATCGGCTACCAAAAAACGAATATTGCGTGAAGGTTTCGAAAGAAACGTTAGAACGGTCGATTTGAGTCCGGATAACGTACCCGACATAAACGTCATAACGGGAGTACTCAAAGACTATTTGCGAGAATTACCCGAACCACTTTTTACAAAATGTTTGTTTCAAATGTTGGTGGATGTTATCGCCGTTTGTTTACCCGATGATCCCGAGGGTAATGCTAAACTAATATTTTCAATTCTCGATTGCCTTCCTAAAGTAAACCGAGTAAGTTAATCGAAATGAATGAATGAATCGTAAGTAATAATAATAATAATAATATTTACAGAGATTTGATTTGATTTTTTTTTTTCTCGAAAGGCTGCTGTAATATTTTTAATGGACCATCTTTCCCTGGTCGTATCTCAATGCGATAGAAATAAAATGACAGCTCAAAATCTTTCTGTGATTTTCGGACCGATATTAATGCTTCACGCAGAACCCGGTACCGATCTTGATTTTAATCAACCGATAGCTATTCTTCGTTACCTATTAGAAGTTTGGAAACATCAGTCAGGTAATATCTGTTAATTAATTTTATTTTCCAAATCGATAACGTAAAATTTTCGTTCATTGCGAATAATAAGGTCGAGGGTGAAGAATGAAACGAAATGAAGGAAATGACAATTTTTTATAAATAATTTATTGTTTGGATATTGATTAGTCGTAAATGTTCACAGACAGTCCGGGATCTGGTCTGTTCAACAGGAGCTTTGTTCAACAACAGTCGAGACCACCATTCAAGTGGAGCAAATCCCTTGACTCGGCAACCCCCGTTGCCTCAGCATATGATCTCATCAAAACAAGTTCTACATGGAGTCCAAGACAAATCAAATCCAGGGCCCGTTGTGGTTACTTCACCAGGTGGATAATACTTCTTTTTTTTTGTCACGGGGATCTTTTTCCAATTTGTTTTTATATAAAAATTTATTTTACAGGCTCTCCCACTAGCGAATCGAGCAGGAGCAGTTCATCGATATCACCGTCGGAAGGAAATGAAATACTTTCAGGTTCGAAATCGCTTTTGAGCAATAAAAATTTCAAAATGATGGATTCATCGGGTTTGAATTTACTGACGAACAAAAGTTCATCTCAAATATCTCTATTGGGGTCAAACAGCTCAATAACAAACAAAAGTCCATCGCAAATTTCACTCCTAGGATCGAACAGTTCGATAAATTCACTGGCACGTTCCATTCCCGATTCTAAAACGTATTCGTCGGGATCAATTTATCAACCGAATTCTCGTAAGTCACCTCTACTGGATCGTTCGAAAAGTCCCTACGGATCACCAAATTTAAGCGACAGATCGAAGAGTCCTTATTTTCAAACCGCGACGAAAACCTCTTACGGTTCGCCGATATTGGAAAAAAGTAAAAACTACTCGCAAAATCTCGAAAGGTCGAAGAGTCCGATGGACAAAGCAATGAAAAATTTATATTCGTCACCCGGTTTGACGACGAGTAGAGATTTGACAAAAAGTCCACTGCTTAAAAATGGAGAATATTCAAGCGTGACACTAGACCGTTACGGAAGTAATAAAACGGGACACGTTGATTCCGAACACAAAAACGAATTGAATCTCGACAGAATGTCTGGTCTACCGTTATCGATGACGTCGAGTCAAATATACGATTCTAATCAAAGTGGTGACAAACCTTTATTTTCAACACTTCCAAGGCAACGAAGCATACCAACGATTATCGGAATGCCGAGAAGGCTTAGCGAGCAAAGGAAATCACTTCCTCAGGTACCGACGGACAAAATAAAAGATTACATGGATGGGAAAACCGTCGATTCGGAATCTAAAAATCCGTTTGAAAAATTAGAAGGTTTCACTATATCCGCGAATCCGACGGGTAAAAATCCATTTTTGGACGAAAACGAAGAGCAGTACAATTACGAAACCGTATCGAGCAGAGTAAGCTGTTTCGAACAGAAAGCAGGAAACGGAAACGATAAAATGGATAATTCGACGAAAATGAATCCCTACGTGGGAATACACACAGCTCAAAATGCCATGTATCAAACGAGTATCGGTCAGTATGGTACGGTCATGACGACGAGCATTCCTCCGTCACAAAATCAATCCACGACTAGATCAATGACTTGCCTTCAATACAGCGTTCCGGTGAGTTCGGGACACGTTCATTCCAGTTTAAAAAAACCTTCAAGCACAATCGAAAATCAAGGGAATCAAAACAATTTGCAGTTTCATTCGCAAAATCAATCGTACAAACCGACGATGGTTCCACCGACTCCGGCGACGCGTAGGGATCCGATGAAATACAGTGAAAAATCACGGGACAGTTCAAAATTGGGACTCGATCCGATAAAAACGAAAACCACCCTACACCACGACGAACCGTTGGAAACACCCACTCCGAGCAGTTCGACCGGAACGGATTCTTCGCGGAAAGAAATCGGACAAGAGGGTGACGTGGAAAGCGATGCTGATGAAACAGAGATGGCCGAACAAGGTGACATGGTACCAGAATTGGGTAAGAAAATTCATCATTAACACTAATTTTTTTTTTTTTTTACTTTCTTCGTCGAGCCAAAGGAAAAATCCTATTCTCTCTCTCTCTCTCTCTCTCTCTCTCTCTCATCAATTTAAAAACCGAATTCCAGTTTTTTTTTTTTTTTTTTTTACTACTTTTAATCACTGGAAAAAATTTAAAAAAAAAAGCGTTTGACCAAGAAAATAAAATAATAATTAAATTAATTAAATAAAAAAAGCTATTAATTGCTGCCACGTTTAAAATCATAATTTATAATAATAATAATTATTATCATTATTATTACGTTAAACCGCGAATGAAAAAAAAAATTAACTGAAATAATAATAATAATAATAATCGTTTGCTCACATTTATCATTGGAAAAAAAAAAAAATCATCAAGTTATGCTTTTCCCTCTAGAGATCGAAACTGAACGCGCTAAATAATAATAATAATAATAATTTTCATTCATTCATTTCCTCATTCATTCATTCATTCATTCCCTCATTCATTCCCTCATTCATTCATTCATTGAATTCCCCGTAAATACGGCATAAAACACGTCACAAGTCACAAAAAGCTTTATATTATTTTCATTCGTAAAAAAAAAAAAAAAAAAAATTCTTTTACTAATAATAATGATAATGATAATGATAATAATAATTAAGACTTATTTATACAAGTTACTAATAATAGTAATAATAATAATTAATAATAAATTTTTAACGTTATCGATAAAAAAAAAAAAAAATTAAAAGCAGCATTGAAAAAAAAAAATAATAAAACAGCACCAATTTAATGTAAAATAATAATAATAATAATAATTGTAACCGCAAATTTTTTTATACCGAACCTGGTAATAAAATAATTAATTAACTAATTAATTAATAATAATAATAATAATAATAATAATGATAAATAATAATTAGACTAACTATGTAAACGTGTATAATGGATTAGTCGAGTAAAACGAAGAATTTTTTTTTTTTAAATAGTTAAAAAAAAAAAATAATTAGTTTTTTTTCTATGTTACCTTTGTAAAACGTAATAATAATAATAATAATAATAATAATAATAATATGTTAGGAAGTGCTTAATAAATTTATATATATATATATATATATATATATATATATATATATATATATATATATATATATATATATATATATATATATATATATATATAAAATAATAATGATAATGATGATTGAATCGTATTTAAAAATTAAAAATAAAAAAATGTTTGATTAAATGAATTTGTGGGGAGGGGGGTGTGGAAAAAAAAGGGGGGAAAATTGCAATGACGAGATACGTTATCATCGATTACGGTGACGTCATATATTATTTTTCCCATTACTGTTATTAATTTTTTGTTTTTTTTTTTTAATTTATAATTTTGTTATTATTATTATTATTATTATTTTTTCTTAAGGAAAATTGTAAACAAAAGAAAATGTAACGTTTAACGAATTTTTAAGTTATAGGGAAAAAAAAAATGTTGTGGTCAATAATGAAAAACATATAAATATAAACTAGTCAATTCGCATTCAGAAAAATATATATATATAAATGATAATAATAATAATGATGATGATGATGATAGTACTATATAAATAAAATGGGTATGATGTTATGGTAAATAGATTAATAGAATTATAAATTAATAATAATAATAATAATAATGAAAATAAATGTGCTCATCATATTAAGTTGAAAATTTTAATAATAATTATTGTGTTTAAAGTAAATCAATTAAATTAAATTAAATTAAATAATGTTAAACAAAATTAATTGTTTTTTCTCTAGTCGCTGCTAATTTTTTGTTGTTTTTATGAAAACTGTGACGTCATTTTTTTTTCTCGCGCGGCGACATCTTTTGAAAATTTTTCGAATTACCAAACAAAAAAAAAAAAATTATGTGCAATTTATAAAAATGAAAAATGAATAATGAATAATGAGCCTTCCCTTTTTTGTCTTTTACTTTCTTTCTTTCTTTCTTTCTTTTTAACCTTTCTACCTCTTTAAATAATTAATTACGTATATATAAATATATATATATATATATATATATATATATATATATATATATATATAAATTGTTGTTGGAAAAAATTTTGTTTTAAATTAAAAATTTAAAAAAAATAAAACTAAAAAAAAAAAAAAATGTCCGAAATTGAATTTTTAACAATATTATTAATTAAAAATATTTGTTTTTTTGCTATTATTATTATTATTATTTTCTATTATATTAATAATGGTTTTTATTTGTTTTTTTTTCAAACGAAAATTTTTTAATAAAATTTTTTATCTGTTGTCGGCCATTTTTTTTTTTTTTTGGTAATGTACGTGTATTATGTACTTACATATAATTAATTCGTAATATTTCAAAACACTTTTTTAACTTTTGTTTATATAAAAATTAAACTTATTGTTGTTAATTTATTTGTGATTTGATTCTAAATATAAAAAAAAAAGAAAGAAAAAACTGTAAAACACTCGTGAAAATTAAAAAAAAAATTAAGTTTTTTTTTTTTTTTTTTTGAAAAAACAACGCGTCTTCATTTATAATTATTTTTAACGGTTTTTTAGTCGATCGCAATGCCCTCTGTATTACGTAATTGGCGAATATTCCAGAACGTTTTTGTTCTAGAACAAGTAGTAGTAAATGAAAAATGGTGAATTGATTAATCGCAAAACCGAATGTAAGTTTTATTTATTTATTTATTATTATTAATAAGTTATTTATTAATAAAAAATTTAATAAAACAATGTTATAAATATATAATGCATATAAATAAATGAATAAATAAAATATTTAAATAGAAAAAAAAAAAATATGTTTTTTTTTTCGAAATGTCAATGGTTTGTTATATGAAAATTGTTCATAAAAAAAATGTACGTTTAACAAAAGTGAAAAAAAAAAAAAAAAATTTTTATTATTATGATTATTACAAAAAAAGAAAAAAAAAAGTGAAAAAAAAGTAGATAAAAAATTAAAAATACAGCTTTTATTGTAATAATTTTTTTGTAATTATTATTATTATTATTATTATTAATTTTTTTTATTCATACTAATTCGTTATAATTTTCCTAGACTCATCAACGGATTCTGTTGAAAAAAGAAAAAAATGAAGAAGAAAATCCAACGTTTTTTTGTCAAGTAATTATTTGAAAGGAATATAAGAACTGGTTTCAGATAACAAAGAGATATAGCCGACATATTAATTTTTATACAAAAAATTTATTTATACAAACAAGAACAAAAAAAGGTAACAAATTTTCATTTATAAAAAGTTTAAAATTTTTTTATCTTAAAATTATTTTAAACACTTTTAAACGTTCAAATAATTTTTTTTTTTAATTTGATAATTTGTTTTTCACCCGAAAACATTCACGCTCACATTTTTACATCATTATGTAACAATTATCTATTATTTAATTTTATAATTTTATTTATCTTTTTTTTCCCCCCCCTACCCCTTTTGGCTACCTTTCATTACAAACGTCATCAAAAAGTGCTGATGATCTTGATGCAATGTCAGCATAATTTTTATTACCGGCAACACATAAAACGCTTGTCGTTTCAACTTGACGTTTTCTAAAATGAAAAAAAAAAAAAAAAAAAAAATTATCGTAATTTAAGACGTTAAAAGAAAAAAAAAAGATAAAAAAAAAAAAAACTTCTTACGTTCTCGTTGAACTGTCCATTTCGGAAACTTCGATTTTGCTCACGTATAAATGATCGTTACACCAAAATAAGCAAATCGAACGAGGTTCTAGAACATTCATGTCATATTCCCAAAAAAATTCAACTTTTCTCACTTTTCTCGTATCTACGGGGTGTGAGACGACAAATGACCTTGAAGTACCGTGCTGTAATCTTATGTAACCTCTGCGGGGAAAAAAAAAAATGTAATTTTTTCATTATTACGATTTTATCTCTGATTTTAATCTCATTAATTTTGAAAATTTTCAGACGCCATTTTTACGACGGTTATATTTATTTAGTTAATATTTATACCGATAGGAGCGCTGTAAGTAACACTGTTCCTTTTTTCTTTTTTTGAAGAAAAATTATAATTAATTAAACGATTATGTAATTAATTAAATAATTACCGAGTTAATTTTTTAAAAAAATTATTTAATATCGCACCCGGTATTAAATTTAATTATTTATATGTAGTTTTTTTATATAACGTGACTAAAAAGTGCAAATTTTAATTAAAGAAAGATGAGTTTTTATGTAACTGTGCGAGTGTGTCAAAGACGCTACAAAATTAAAACAAAATGGCGTAGTAAGTAAGAAATTTTTGTTGAAAAGTTATTTTCAAAAAAAAAGCAAGAAATTGCTATGAAATTACCAAATAAATGTAGATTTTTTTTTCATTCGAATTTGAAATAGTGAAAAACTTACGATGGCGTCAAATCTAAATTTCTAATAACTCCATTATTGCTATGCATTGAAATTTTCATATAACCTTGTACCCAATCTTCAGCTTTCGGTGGTTTGGCTAATTCCAGTGTAATTTTATAATGTCTCCCTAAAAAAAAATAGCCATTAAAAATACATTAATGAATTCTGAGAGAATAAAAAAAGAAGTAAGAATAAAGGTAAGCCTTACTGCAAAAGGGATGATCTTTTCCTGTCGTTATAAAATATTTCGAACCAGGAGGTGGTAATTTCAATGATTCTGATGTACGAAGACCCATAATTGCACAAGTGCTTGAATTTTCACGACAGTGAAAGCAACGTCCCTTTATATATTAAATAATTATTAATATAATTTTAATACAGGTAATTATAATGAATTAATAACCGGTTTTTACTCACTTCTAAAAATTTTTCGTAGGATTCACATTGATGAGCGACATATGGACATTTACTATTAATTGATTCAATGAAAAGTTTTATGGCTCTTATGTGATTGCAAGCAACGAGTACTCGACTGGCTTCTTCGATACCATCACGTATTAATGTTAGAGGAAGTGGTGTTTCGGCTAAATCACAGCCAGGTTGTTCTTTGCCGTTATTAGGAAAAAAATCAATATGCCCGCAAGGTAACGACATTCCATAACCTGTTTAAATGTGCGAGCTTATATATTAATAGAAAGTTGTAAAAATAGTGAAAATAAATCTATAAATAATATATATAAATAAATTTTCTTTTAATAAAATATTTTGACCTTGTGTCAAATTCTAAAATACTTTCAAACTTTTTTTAATTATTTATTTATTTTTTATTTTTCAAGATTGATACGGGCGATTGCAGACGTCATGGGTACCATCATAACATTTGACGAAGGCAAAAAAAAAAGAAGACAATGGAGATAACTTTTCAACAATATTCACCTAATAAAAATATACTTTTCCCATCTGTGTGTATAACATCAACTAAATCAGCATCCGTATGATCGAGTCTAACAAAATATGGCAATCCCTGAAAATAAGGTTCTGCTGGATCCAAACCAGTTATCCTACCAAGACCTTCTATTCTTTCACCAGCATAACCAGCCGTATGTGCTCCCAAACTGTGTCCAATCATGTGAACTTTCTTCGGATCCAATTTATAATGATCCTGATGATGATGACGATGGAAAAAGAAAACAATAAGTACTAGGTAAACATTATAAAGAATTTAATTGAATGAAAAATGAACAAACGATACCTTTAAATAATTAATAAGGTATGCTAATTCCAATCCTACTAATCTTGTATTTGCTGTTGCTTGAGTATATAATGGCAAAGAACCACCAGCCCAATCTACGACAATCACGTTCCAGTCTGCATGTTTTAATAACTCTCTTCTCATTTCCTGATGAATGTTTTAAAAAAAAAGTTAAATCATTTCCGGAATTTTTTTATTTTTATAATGTTAATCAAATGTACATCCATGCATAAATGTTTAATTATTTATTTATTTATTTGTTTGTTTGTTTCTGCCACGACTCATTTCCCAATAATTAATGATTTTAATAAAATTATTCTCTAGTAACAAAAAAAAAGAATAATGGCGGTTTTAAGGGATGTTTTATCTAACAATAGATTATCTTACCTTCACCCACGAACTAAGCGGTGTATCAATGAATCCATGAATTATAACTTTGGTGTCTTTTTTAGGATCTAAATTTGATTTGTATATGGTCGTGTTCCTCTGCGGTAGAAGCAATTGACCCTGCGTTGGATTTTTTCTCGTGTACAATATAAACTTCGTATCGATGACTTGTCTCGGAAGTGGAAACACATTGAAAGGCCTGTATATGAGATGATACCAATCTCTTGTAACGTTGAGGCAACCGAGTTCATCGTAACATCTTGTTTCGTTTTCAACTGCCAAAATAACAATAGGAAGCTAGAAAAATGAGAAAAAAAAAAAAATTTGGAAGGAAAATATTCGGGGTGAATTTTTTTTTTGCTTTTGTTTTCCCTTTTCTTTTTTTTTTTTTTTCCTTTTTATTCGTTTTTCAAACTTACATGGCAGCCATGGTATATTTCCCATAAGTTTATCGCTTCTCCCCCAATTTAAATCTAATATAGCTGGTAAAACCACCGGTATCAGGCAATATAATATAGGCCAAAATAGCGGTGAATGAAAAACTGAAATCCGGCACACCATTGACAATGTTTCCCGAAGTAAACATGAAAAATACCTGTAATTAATTATCACGATTGTAACTTTTTTGTTGTTGTTTGTTTACAGGTAGTCGTCAATCGCAATTATAACTATTGCGTAAATTATATTTTTATATAAAAAAAAAAAAAAAATAAGCGTGAACAATAACAACATTGAAAGGATGTTAAAAATTTCAAGGCTCACTTTTTTTTGTAAGTACACTATAATATTACCTATTATTATTATTATTATTAATATTATTGAAATTAAAAGACAGAAAAAATAGTAATCGTGTAATTATTTAAATAACACGTCGATGATAATATTAATAATAATAATTATTATTATTATTATTAGTAGTAGTATAAAATTATTAGTTTGCATATATACATATACTAAATTATTTTAATATTTATAAAAAATTTTCCGGATAAACAATTTTATATAATAAATATATAATCAGGATGTTTATCAGAGCATAATTTAACAACTGAAAAATGTAAAAAAAAAAAAAAAAAAAATGAAATCTTACAAACGCATCATCACTTATCGAGAGCAAAAGTTTTTATTATTATTATTATTGTTTAAAAAAAAAAACTTTCTAAAATATAAAAACTGGAACGGGTACTTAAAAAAAAAAAAATGGTGGTTAAACAAGTTTGACAATTAATCAAACATAATTGGTGCAGTAATGATAATCCACGTAATAATAATAATTTTTTTTTTTTTTAATTTTTTTTAATTTAATTGGTTGTGTTTGTATGTACGTACAAACAAACAAACAAACAAACAAAACAAAAAAAAGAAAATTTATATATATATATATATAATAAACCGAAGGTCAGAATCATGGTCATTAGCAACCTCTAGCTGTTAGACCGGTCAATTATAATCGGGTCAATGTTTATCCAACGTATAAAAAAATTAATGCAGACGACACAAACGCACACACGCACGCACACGCACTAATTAATAATAATAATAATAATAAATTTTTTTTTTATTGATGCGAGTAGTGGGTGATGAGACTTTTTGTCATCGTGAATATTAAACGATTAAGAAAAAAAAATTTTTTTTCGCGCCAAATTTAAAAATCGGTACCCGTGGGGTAGGGGCAACAACAACAACACGATTCGTAATATTCGTTATCAATTAAAATAAATAAAAACAAAAAAACATTTGAACGGTGACATTTTCTAGTTTAAAAAAAAAATTAATATTTTTAAGGTAGATTTTTTTCCATTTTCAATTCGTAATTAATTAATTTAATTAAGAAACGTAATACGCCAAAAGTACTCATTGAAAATTTGATTGTCTAAATACACGTTTAAAAAATTCTGTTTTATTTTGTTTTAATAATTAAATCCGCGTGCTTATATATACCGCGTGACTAACCACGTGTGCGAAAAAAAATTTTTTATTAAATATTTACTTGTTTAATATTTTACGCAATTATTATTATTATTATTATTATTATTAAATTTAAAAAAAATAAATAAATAATGTTTTGTTTTCTGATTGGTAGAATTATACAATAGGGATTTCGTCTGATTTAAAATTTATCTCATAAGACTTAAAAAAAACAATATTATTATTACTTATTTTAATTATTATTATTATTATTTATTATTATTATTTTATTAAGTTCGATGACGTTTTGAGTGTTTTTTAATTTAATTCTTTTTCTAATTTGTGTAGGTCACATAAAATTTTTTTGTTAAATTCGATTGTGTTTTGTGACCTGTAATGACTTTGAAATTTCTGAGGTTTACATTTCAAAGTTATTATTATTATTATTATTATCGTTTTTTTTTTTTTTTTGAATTTTCCTCTCGATTTGATTCGATCGATTGTTAATTATTATTGATTAATTTAAACGTAGGGTTTTAAATTTTGTAAATTTTTAAAGATTAAGTTATCCATTTAAACCGTTAAAGTTTGTGTGGGTATTTAAAACTTACTCACCCCGAAGTGTTTTTTTTTTTTTTTGTGTATGTTATTAAGAATATTTTAAAAATTATTGTGCAAAATTTTGTAGTGGAAATTTTTATTTTTATTTTTTTAATGAGAATTTAGACGTGGAAGAAGAAGACATAAATTACCTGGAAATTTTTTTTTTTTTTTTTTTGGGGGGGGGTCTGTCTTGCTGCGTTTTTGCAATTATTTATTTTTTAATTTTAACATTGTACGCAAGGCCGTTAAGGCTTTGTAACAATTTAAAAAAAATTTTCTTTTTTTTTTATTAACCCTCACATTATTTAAATTTTATTTATTTTAAAATACCTTTAAAAAAAAGAATTTTTTTTATTATTATTATTACGTCCTCCATCATTAAAAATTACATTATTATTATTATTATTATTATTATTTTTAAAACCTACTCCGGGGTACTCGGACTTTTATTAAGGGCCTCATTTTTTTGGGGGGGGTAAAACTATTAAAGAACTATAAAGAGAGAAAGAGAGAGAGAGAGAGTGAGTGAGTGAGTTAGAGAGGGGGAGAGAGAGAGAGAGAGAGAAAGAGGAAAGTAGGAAAAAACACAATTATTATCAATAGAACGTAAAATTATGTTACGATGTTAAATAATTTCGTATCGCCTTTTATTTTAATTTTTTTTTTTTTTTGTTTCCTTATGCGATGTCTCGAAACCTGTTTCTAGAACTTTCTCTGAGGTTCGCAGGTAATAAATAATTATATAAATTCGTCCTTGACAATTATATATATATAATTTTTTTTTGTTTTTCATCGTTTTCATTTTCCACCGTGTGTGTGTATATGTTGTTTAAACAATATAAATAATAATAATAATTCATTGATGTCAAATCATCGTGCGAATTGTCAATAGCAAAAACAAAAAATATAGTTTTTTGCTACCGTTCATCGGTTTTATTTATTTGTTTGCATTTTATTTATTGAGATTTCGTTAATAAATCAAACGTGAATTAGAAATCAATTAGCACTTTTGATTAAATTTCGCGCGCTTTATTAATTAAAATAATAATAATAATAATAATAATAATAATAATAATAATAATAATAATAATAATAATAATGATAACGATAATAATTATGATAATAACAATAATAATAATGATAAATTATAAAATTACGCTAAAATTTTATTTTATTTTTAATAAAAACGAATCGAAAAGGATTTTTTAATTTCGACACATAATAATAATAATAATAATAATAATAATAATAATGTCACTATGTTTAATAATGATGAACAATATCGATAGATTTTAAAGAAATAGCAGAAGACAATTTTTTAAATGGGTTTCCTAATGGTTTTCCCGTGTCGTACGTACACAAATATTTTCAAATAATCTTTTTTTTTTGTTTTTTTTTTAAGTATAATTAAATA